AAGTTGCTGATTTCTAAGTATACAAAGCAGTATGTTTTCCGTGTACTTCCCTCCTTTGGCTCAGGTTTCCCCCAGTGACAGAGTCAAAAACAGTGGAAAAAATAATGAAAAAACAAATGTAAAGCTATTACCACACATACACATAGAAGTATCTCTCATTACCATACTGGTTCTGTGTCTGGATATGAATAACAAAAAGAAATAACTAGCAGAGGAAAAAAATCCAACAAGAAAAAACCAAAAATGACCAACCAACACTCTCAGAATGAGCACTTCATATAAACAAAGAAATTACTTGGGATCCCAGAACAAAAACAAAACAAAGCGAACCAACCAACCAACCAAAAAAAAAAAAAACCCACACCTCAACAAACAAACAAAAATCCACCTCCCCAATATCAAGAGCAGTACTAACACTCAATTCTGTGTATGGGTATATTTAAATAATGTCACAGGTTTTTTCCTCCATGCAGGCATTAGGGCCCAGACAACATATTCTGTGCTCATTCTTCCCTAGAAGTAGAAACATGGTGAAGATTCTTCCAGCTCCACTGCTTCAGCTTGTTCAGGATGAGCTCACTACAAAAATCTCAGTAAAGATTTTCAGACAGTTTTTAAGAAAAGCCTAGCATTACTTTCACTCCCCAGAAGAGCTGTTTCTCTGCCAGCACTGCTCTTTACCAGTCCTTGTGCTCAGCTCCCACAGTAACCCAAAAGAAATACTGTGCATTTACAGGCACATTTGTTTTGTTTCGCTCTAAGAAGTGCCAGAGCAAAACGTTTTTCCAATTATCTCAAACCTTAAATTCATTATATACGCTAACTGCTACAATTTCGGATCAAAAATTTTAAAAAAAAATCAGTACACATGAAAGATGACAAAAAAGATTTAGATCACAGCAAAAAATCCAGCTGATCCAACACAAGAGCCTGAGGCATGAGAGACAGGTCTCATGAGCACTGGTCCTTCAGTGTTCCAAAGGGAACTGGAGAGAGAAAATGGGCAGGGGGCTGGTTATGGTTTAGCATGTAGCTCCTTAACTACCTTTCAATCCATTCGTCATCAAATTTCCATTCATGTCTTAGTGTTCACAAAAGCATAAAACTGGGCGTAACCATACAGGTGAGCTTAATGATGCTGACAAAGTGTGCAAGAAAACTTGGTATATCAAGGAATGAGTTTATGGTTAAAAGCTTTGCTACACACCCCTTATTTTGTCTCTCTCATTTACCAATCAGTATAGTAAAATATTACACAGTGTGTACTCATAGAACCTTCCCAAAAGCTATGTTACAGCTTGAGAGAGGACATTAAGATAAACACCTCACAACACTCTCTGGGGAACAACATGGGAAGATACATGTTGTGTGAGAACAAGCTTATAAATCAATTCTTTCAGAGTAAAAATGGTCTTCACACAGGCAATTTTCATGTCAGGACTTCAGGGAAACCAGGTAAGATGAACACATCCTACACACAGTAGGGTTTTTTTGTTTTAAATAAAGTGCATTAAATAGGAAAAATATGCCATTATTGTAACTGAACAGCTTCAGTACCAAGTTCACAAAACAAGAGTTTGGGAAGGAAAAGGAACTGCAACAACAGAAGTTTATTGATCTCCTCTATGAAACAACTTTGTCAAACTTAGGAAATACATTTAAGTATTATACTTAGGTGGAAGGGTTTACTCTAACTTAAGGTGGATGTAGTAGAACACTTAGTGTATTTTTGTTTATTTCAACCCAAGTCATGTGCCAAGTAGCACTGGCAGCATAAATCCTAGTAGAGCAACATGGTTAGCTACACGTAATCTGAATTTATTCCGTGTGCTTAAATTGACTCTTAAAACCAGTCACTCCATAAACATGTTGCATCCTAAGCTTGGAAAAAATTTCAGAAAAACAAACTGACAGCTTTGCACATATAATAAGCTCATAACGACTTAACTTACATCACTTCATGCAATTCAGTGGAATTCAGAAACACAAACTCCTAACAGCTAATGAAAAGCTTCTCAGCAAAGAGCTGAAATAAAACATAATTAAATGCAAAAAAAAAATCAATTTTAAAGCCTAATTACTAGGTGTCTATCAAAATACATTTCATTTAATTAACTGCACACACTCAAAACTTTCATCTGCTCACTGCTGTGGCACTACAACAAATTATACTCTGCCACTGAATCACTACCATAGAAAAACAAGTAATATGTTTTATAAAGAGGAAAAGTTTGAAGAGACCATTTTTGTTAAACCATCTGATAGCAAGTGAGCTTGCAGAGAAACTTCTGGCCCTGCATCAGAAAAAAAGAACAAATGACAGTATTGCACTGGAAGAAAAGTGTAAATGGTTAATTTACAAACATTAAGGCCACACAGGAACAGAAAATCATAATCAAAGTTTCTGAGGAAGGTAATCATCTGGGTAGTTTACACTAGAATTTCAATCTTTTATAACAAAAGTACTCCAATCAGCTTCTACTCTGAAGGCATCGCCTTTGTCCAGAAAAGATGTCAAACACAGGCTTGTTTCACAACTACTCTGGCAATCAAAAGTTGCACTTCTGGTACACAACTAGCTACTACTTCCCCTCCACTGAGAGCCAAATGCTTCAATGATACCCAACTGAAAAAGTTAATTTCAATAATTACAGTGCAAATACATATTGGTTACTTAATTATCCTACTCCAACCATTATAGAATAGCCTCCAGTATGAAACAGGGCTGAAATGTCGAAGAGCTGTACAGATGACTACTTACTTCCTTGAGTTTTCACAGGTTCAAAATTTCAGCTTGAAAACAAGATTCTTACCTACATAATAACTGCTAAATTTCAGTTCATCTGTGAGTTTTAACATGTTTTAATGGAAGAGAACATGAGTACAAAATGCTAACTCCAGAGTGGTTGACCAAGTTTGGAAAGATTTAACAGACTTCCTATTTCTGAAATGATAAAATAACTTCAACATAATTCTTACCTCACTGTGTTTGCAATGCCAAGAGGGGCAGGAGTGCAGTTTTAAATCTTATACAAATTTAGGCACGTTCCTCAAGAGTGCAGTGAATTGCTTTATGCACCCATGAATCCACACTACTGAATAGGGGCAACCACACCCACTTTTAAAACTACAAGACTGAAGACACTTCATACAACAACTTTGCAGCACAATTTGTCTGGCTTGCAAGAGAACATTTAACTGTCTCCTGAACTTGAGAAGACTAAGTCCATGTTAACACATCCTTCATGTCATAGCAGACTGTTACTCATCAAGCTTCTGGGAATGGTAAGAGTTAAAAAAAAAATTTAAAAAAAAAGGAAATTGAGGCAGAATAGCAAGAACATGGCTATCTAGACTGGTAGAGCATATAGCAGAGAAAACAGGACTTAGGGGTGGGTCTGAAGATTAGTGCACTCTTTGGGACAGACCTCATCAAGGAATACTTTCCCAAGACTGAGTTTGTGTTTCTCTGGAACACAATAAACCATATCAGAACCTATGAATAGGAATCAAGATCTTTAGCTTCTTCCCTACAATAAACATTGTCTTAAGCAGAGCCAGGCTAGTTTTTGAAAAGTTCAATGTCCGGAAAAAGTAACAGCAACTATTCTCCTGTATATTCAGAAGGTGACCTCAACAGATCTCATCAAAGTCACATTGATGTTATTAATGCCAAAATTATCATCCTTTTGCAGGTCTCATAGATCCTTTCCAATCATTGTATAACACTTTACAGATCAGTAAAGGATCTGTGAGACTGTATCCTTAGCAAACCTGCAGATGACACTGAAGCAGAAGAAATGGCTGACAAAGAGCAGAACTTCAACTGAGAGAAAACTCAGCAACCTTGAGGACTGGGCATCATGTACCTCACAAAGTTTTAACACAGACAAGTACTAAATTTTACACCTTCAGGGCTGTAACTGCAGTGTAGAACAGCAGTCAAGGCCCAAGCTCTTACAAGGGACACAGAGAAGAACAGATGAACAACAGCCAGCAGTACACTCTTGTCACTAATGAGGCAAACTGCACCCTGAGCATCATTAAACAGGGCCCAAAGAACAATTTATTGCCATCTTACACTTTGCAGTGATGAGACTGGCATCCTACAGTGCTGGTTTTTGCAGCCTCACAAGAGCAGTGTGGAGAGGGCCAGCAGAGGACTGTCACAACACTCAAGGGACCATGACACATGAGGAGAGGTTGAGGATGCTGGCCTTATTCAGTCTGGTGATTGGCCGGCTAGAGGCACAAGCTGATGGGAAGGGGAACCACAAAGACAAGGAAATTCTCAGTAGTGGCAGACAGTTAAGCAAGGGGAAACAGCCACAAATGGACATTTGAGAGCTTCAGGCCAAACATCAGGGAGCCAACATTTCCCTAGAAAAGTAATGCTGCTCTTGATTTGTTGTCCATGGAGGCTATGGAATCTCCACATCCTTCAAAGTGTCCAAAACCAGAGTCCTGAGAGATCTGACCCAGGTATGGCCACAGCCCTGCTCAGCCCAAAGTTTAGGCTGGATAACCCCTGAAATCCTTCCCAACAGACTTTGATTTCCTGTGATTCAGTAAATGCTTAGTTGAGAACCACTTGCACAGATGCCTCACTCTCAGTTCAGGTTTCTTCCTCCCCACTACCACAGCCTGTATGATCACACTGATGTCTTTTTACCTTGATCCATATTCTCCAAAGAACAAGTGAAATGAAGAAGGAGCCATTAGAATGATTTGAGCACAAGCTAACCATGAACAATATGACCTTAGGAGGAAATCCAGTTTGAAGACATAGTCCTTCCCCTGGGACACATTTTTTCCTGTAAGCACCAGATCTCTCTGGTGTAAATGCAAAACAGATTTCATTTAATGTCACATGCTTTACTGAGTAAATAAAACCACACTAATATGAGCATGTAAGAGGTTGCAACAAATACCTGAACCAATTTTTGACCCCCTCTTTATTTTTACATCAATATTTTCATCCTGTATTTGTTCATTCTTACCTGTCTGAATTTATTAATTTGTCTTTCATTTAGTTTGCAAAGTTTCCAGGCAGAAAACTCTCTGTTCCTGCTTTATTTTTTGTTGTCACTGCTGCTGCTTTGGGTTGATTTCCTATACCTTTCTGTTTTTTGAGGTCTTGACATCATGAAGGCAGATAAGCATCAGAAGAAATTCAATTCAAAACCCCAAAATGAAATGCCTATGACCAAAAAAAAAAAAAATCATATTTGTGTTTAAAAGGCAGGATGTAGACAAAGAAAAATCCTCAGTAAATTGGCTTGCCATTTATGCAGTCTTCAGTGCTTTATTTTAGGCCAAAGGCTGTTCCCTAATATTGAGAATTTATCAAGAAATATGCTCATAGTAAGGCAGTCACATGACAGAGCTGTAGAGAGACATAAAAGCTTGTCTATTCTGCAGGAAGAGCTGTCATTAGATAAGCAAAGAAAAATAGCACAAAGAATTATAACTTTGCTTGTACCAATTTCTTCAGAATCTTTTATAATCCATTACACTGAAAGACATTATTAAGGCTGTAGTTACATCTCCTTGTTTGGGAAAAATGCTTACAGCAGGAAAAACTTGCAAAGCAATGAAGCGATAAATAATTTGACTTACAAAAAGGCAGAGTATCTGAATAGAACAACCTGTATAAATTTAATTAATTTTAAGCTAATAAAAAAATATTGGCAAAAAAAAAAATCTGAGTTTCCTTTTGGCAAAGAAAATCAGAGTTTTGGTTTTTTTTTAAAGAAGAGACTTGATAATTAGGTAAATTACTGAGCAAGAAAATCGCTCCAAAAATCATACTGCCCAAATGCTTCACTACAGCACAAAAGGCACACATTGCACTCCATTATGTGGCTCACCTCTGCTACTCTAAAATTAATTTTAGCTGTCTCAGTAAAGATCTCACTCCTTCTGTCCATTCACTTTGCTATCTGGTAGAAGCAACATTTATTATAGCAAAGAACAGAATGAAGCATTTTTGAGAGAATAAACATTCTATAAGCAGAAAAAGACCAGTAAATGTTAATTGTGAGGTAAGCTGAAAATTACAGACATACTTGTGGATTGTAAAGGGAAGGACAACAACAATACTGAATCCCTACCAAAAGTATTCTCTGGGACTGTATTCTGAAAAGCATATATTAAGAAGAAAGACTTAAAAACAATCAGGAAAGTGATTAAATCTGAATTTAAAATTTAGTCTTTAGAACAAAGAAAACAAAAACTTTTCTGAGAAACAGTAGTTTCTCAGTAGCTTAGCAGTAGCTTCCCTTTTCCTCTGTCACATAATTCATAAAATGCTCACATAAAAAAAAAGACACTTGACAACTGTTCTCCCCTACTGATGATGCCACCATCTACAATGTTACCATCAAAATGTACATTTCTCAAGCGTCCTATCTGATCTCCCACCTCCACAAGGTAATGACAGAGCAGGGTCACAAAGCAGCATTGCCCTCCAGGATGAGCAGAGCTCACCTGCAAGTCTGCTTGAACTACTCCACATAATGAAAAAAAACTCCAAATAAATGAATAGCTTTATCAACAACATTTTGCCCTATGAAGACTAAAGAATACAACATTTCACATAATTTAGTCATTCACCCACCAACTTTAGGACAATGGACAAAACTGCACGAATATCAGCAACAACTGAGGGTGCCAGAGGACCAACAACTAGGGAAAACAATTAACATATAATTTTAAGAATGAATTTGCATAAATCCGATTTAAGTTTTACCCATGCGTAACTCCTGAATTCCCCCCTGCTCCTCATATATAGAAGAAAAAGTAAATTTGTCAGTGGCTTGAATAATCACTGTTTCAATCTCAGTTAATTTTTTTTTTATAATTTGAAATTCCCTGATTATCTTTTAGTAACAGTATTGAGAACAAAGTACTCACAAGTCACACTAAAGATTACATTTTGAGATTTGAAAGACATCTAGTCCAGACTGTATCCCATTGTAATAAAACAAAAAAATTAAAACATGAGGCGACTCTGAATGCATGTGCTTGACCTACGCATACACACTTCTTCATAGCTGTCTACTGAATAACTGTACTCGGAACACAGTAATGCAAAGTAAAAGGCATTTGCAAAAACACAACCGTATTTTTCTTCTGTCAGGAAAGTAATGCATGTTGTTCCTATCCACTTAAAAAAAAAACTAAGCTACATGAAATTTTGAGTGTGTGAATATCTCTTGTGTTCTAATGATGGAACAGATTGGGCATATAAATTAAATTTGATAATTACAAATAGCAGAGAGGTCTTAAAGGATTGCCATCCCTTATTAAGCACATTTCTGGATGGAAAGAAGCTGTCCATTTTGCAGGGGAGCTGTCACTTCACCAAGAGCCACAAGAGATTCAGATCCTGCAGTTCTGGAACAAGAATTTGCTGACCAGCACGAGTCCTTGTGCTTCAAGAAAGAAGAGAAAATCCAAAATGACAGAATCTAGCCGCCCAGGGATTACATGAACTTGGCCAGTAGGTTCAATTAGAAGTTTTTATGAAACTGGAATTGCTGTTATAGCTCAATATTTGCAAAAGTGTTATGAAGTTCCTCCCAGGAAAGGAAGGTTGTTTGATTTAACTACTGTGTATTCACAACTTTAGCACTTAATCTGCTCAGAGACAAGATACCACCCAAGTGCATGAAGCAAAATACAAGATTATGGTAAATAAAACCAGCTGGAATGCTATAACTTAATTAAAAGATCTTCATTTCACTCTTGAATAAACACCTTTGCCATCTTTCTATAAATATTGTATCCCTTGTTTACTTGTCTCATAGTACCAAATACCTTTTGAAAATTCCTTATAATGTTATCCATGATAGTCAGGTTGATGTATGTCTCCCTAAAGTTTTAAAGAAAAAAAAAAATAAACCCCATAAGAGTAATGTTATAATGTTCATACTCCAAAGCATTTTTAAAATAGTAAGTCAAAACATTACTCTACAATCTGTTGCATGATAATAAGAGCAATAAATTACATGCATTACCATAAAAACATAATCCTATCACAATTGTGTTTTATAATGGAGTCCAATTTTCTCCAAATTGAGATGCTCTGCTGACTAAATTGAAGTTTAAATCAGATGACAGATGATTTCTGATACACATGCACAATAAGAGAGTATGCCACCCACTAGCAATTTTCATGTTTGAAACATAAACAGCTTCGTGAATATGAATCAAGAAACATTCTCCACAAAAAAATAGAAAATGTTATTAGAGTGATGATAATGTGCTATTCCTGCTAGCCATGGATTGCCACCTTCTCAGAACTGAGGGCTGATATAATTATATTACACAGAATTTATCAGAAACACTAGAAGCATGACGACTTCTCAACGTTTTAGAAACTGAAGTGGAATATGAAGAAATCTACTGAACTTCCAGCATACGTTTTTATGGGGATAGATGAAACTTGATGTTTTCCTCCTTTTTCCAAAATACATCATTCTGTCAGAAAACTGTGCCAGTCACAGGATCACAGAATGGGTAATGCTGGAGGCAAGCACAGGGCATCACCTGGTCCAGCCTCCCTGCTCAAGCAGGGTCATCCAAGAGCACAAGGCAGAGGATTGCATCCAGACAGTTCTTGAATATCTCCAGTGAGAGAGACTTCACAGCCTCTCTGGACAACCTGTTCCAGTGCTCACTCACCCATACAGAAGCTCTACCTCATGTTCAGGAGGAATTTCCCGAGCATTTCTGCCCGTTGCCTCTTTTCCTATTGCTCAGCACCAGTGAGCAGAGCCTGTTCCATCCTCTTGTCAGCCTCCCTTCAGATACTGACAGACATAAGTTTATAAAATTCTGAAAAACCTTTTAAGGATAGGAATATTGTTGTATATACTCTAAGTAGGAACAGCAATCAAAAAAACTAAACACACACTCTTAAAAATACAAAATATTAGGAAAATATTGAGTCAGATTTGCTAAAAAATTAAATAACCTCAAGTTATTTTTTTAAAGTATCAGTTTCATATGGAAAGGAAATTTACCATTTTAACAAGGTTTTATATGTAGGTTATTCATGGCAGAATGTGACTTTTCCCCAAACCTATTTCTTGTTGGATACCAAATGTCATTGCTATTTACAGGTAAATCAAACTGTAATGCTTGAGTAATGGTCAATATTTAATTTTATTATCCAGCCTTCTAGCTTTTACAGCATTCCATAAACTCGTACAGCTATAAGGATCTTCAGGAAAGTCCCCTCTCACATTAAGACTTCATGGCCCAAAAAATCTGCTTTTGTTCTTTGTTCAGGTCCTGTTTCATCCTGCACACAGCCTGGGAACCACACAGAGATAGAAATTACGGAGAGCGGGTGGTCAGAAACTTTAATTCACAGCCCTGCTGTGAATGCTATGGATGTCAGTTCTCCTAGGACCAAATGACAAATGGAGGCAGTCTCATTAAGGCACACGCTCCAGCAAGAGGATAGTATGGATGTTTTCTCAGGTTTTATACTCTTTGGAGACAGCTGCTCTAAACCTATGCATTGGAAGAGCAGAAACTTCTGTTTTACGGGTTGGAATATTAATTACAGTAGAAAAGTTTAATTCCCTTTATGTGATTATACTCAACACTTTTACCTTCAGCCATCTTAAATAAAAGTACGTCACTAATCCTTACAGAAACTCTACCAAACATCTACTTATTACTGCAAGAAGCTAAACCTCCACTACACATCTCTGATGCCAAATGAACTGAATAAAGGTAGTATGGCAGATGCAATTCAATTCCACATGTGTTAACTCACATAATAACTAATCTTTTGGAAAGACATATTTACAAGCTGGAAGATACCTCTATAAACTAGAATTTTTATATTATACAAATGAAGCCAGCACAAAGGCTTCATATACAGTGTACTTCAATTCAAAATTCAGAACTGCAATAAATGAAGAAAACATGATTTTTTTAAGAAAACAAAACCAGAGGACCTAAATCAGTAACACACCAGTAGTCAATGTCTCCTACTTTCATCTCTTTGGTTAGAATTTAAAATCTGTCCACTTTTGCTAGCTGAGCAATGGAAGCTATGCAGATGTGGAGAATATGCCTAAAATGCCACCATGAAAATCTGCTGCTATGACAAAGTACCCAAATGAACCATTAATGGAGATTCACTTACTTCATGAGCACATTATGATTCAGGGGAATGAA